GTAGATAACTGTTCAATATGAAAACAAGCACATTTTAAAATGCAGTATGTTTTATCGGTACCTCCTCTGGTGTCACTTTTCCAATCCTATAGTCAGGACAATACAAGGAATTAGCCAAGGCATTCCGGTAAGCTGCAGCATGCAAATTTTCAATGACATCTGTATGATAAGTAAAGAAGCAGTTACTGAAGTATAATTTAAGAACATTTTTAAAACCTAGAAGGCAACAAGCCTATACAAATTTAGTCATCCTCTGGTTTACGAGAGCTTGAAATTTTGCCAGTTGAATGAGCTGAGAAAAATGAAATTATATGGCAGCAGTTTCTATATGTTGGAGTCCATGAGTCCACCTAAACCACTTCTCTAGCTCTAATCTACCTGGTATCATCTGGAAAGTACAATGGCCTGGGTTTTGGGAAGTATTAATCTAGTTATGGTTCTGCCACCAATTTGCCATATGACCTTAGATAAGTCATTTAATCTGAATTTTGCTTATGTCTAAGGTTTCTTTTCTAGGTAATAAGGTAGTTATCAGAATATGAGGAGATATGAAAGTATCAGTCTTAGGTCATATTACCAGTTTTTATGGGTCAAATACTGTCAAACTGGACTTACTCCTGTTTCAGGTGTTCCTGCAGGTACTCTCCCTGCTTTGCTTTCCTGCTTCAGTGCCTTTGCTTGAGGTATGTTTCCTTCATTTGCTCATTATCTGGGCAAACTCCCTATGCCAGGCACTGTGCTAGGTGTTAGAAATATAGAGATGAGTAACACATAATGCCTACCTTCAAAATGTTAAGAGGAAAAACTGTGAAATAAAGTATTATGGCACAATGTCAGCAGTATGTCAAAAGAGCAGCAGGGGTATAAGGGAAAGGCAGTGGGAACTGGAACAGAGTAACAGAAGTAAAATCTAGGATAAGTCTTACAGAATGAGTAGGTAGGTATCTCCCAGGCAAATGATTGGGGAACAGTATTTCAGGCAGAGGAAACCAGACAGAGCAAAGGCATAAAGAACAACAGTTTGATTCAAAGGGGAATCAAAGCTGGGAGGGGAAGAGGAGTAGAACAAGAAACAAGAGAAGTGGGCTGAGGTCAGATCATGAAAGGCCATATATACGCTAAAGAGTCTGGCCTTTATCCCAAAGACGATAAGGCGGCTTTAAAGGACTTTCATGTCAGAAGATCACTGTACTGGACTGAAGATGTAAACCTGGAGGCAGAGACACCAGCCAGGAGACTATACAGTAACTGTTTAGGCAGAAAGGACGAGGGCCGGAGCCTCACTGCTACCAGTGGGAGAAGAAGCCACTATGGACATGTAAGGTCACCTTTTCTACAGTTTTACCATTCTATTTCTTTGGTAGAAGTCCTGAGCAGTAAAGATCACACTTCTCTGTGACACAAAGTATCATCGTGAAACAACATCAGCAACAGGAACCAAGCACTCACTATGTTCCAGACACTTGCCAGACCTGCATTCTGAGGGAGGCCTGTCCCATGCTGAGCCCCTGCACCTGCTCACCCATTTCTGGTCTACCTGCACATTTCTGCCCCCACCAGAAGCTGTATGGCTTCCAGAGAGTCAGCAGTGCTTGTTTACAGATTTGTTTTGCCAGTGTACTTATCAAGATTATATAATTAAACATTACCTAAATATAAAATATGAATTAAAAAAGTTATTTTTAAAAACTAAAGTTGCTTACTCTGGAAGGACCCAATAAAGGGGAGCTGGCTAAACAATGACAGTAATATATACCAATAAACAATAATAGCAGCAGCAGCAACAATATACTGCTGCTGATTTGGTGTACACA